AGCGCTGAAAGCTGAAAATTGGCCTGGTAAATAAGGGGGTATAAGTGCCTGGTAGGCAAGTGATTAAAGTGGAACTTCCCCTTTTGGGTGGAGCTCTGCTTTAAATTTGTTTTCAAATGTTTGTTCGATTTTGCTTTCGAAATCGAATTTGTTTTCTATTCGAATTTCGGGCAAATTTCATCTTGTTAGTTCTGATTCGTTTAAATTCGTTATTTTTGTAATTCGTTATTCAGATACATCCGAATCTCCAAATAACAAAAAAATTTGTCCCAAATGCGATTCGGAATGAAACGAACCGCATGTGTCCAAAATTAACTTGTCTGTTGTCTGGAGCTCCACCACCGATTTTTAATGATAAAAGGTAAAGATGATTTGAAAGATTAGGTTCAGTTCACACAACTGCAACACAATTCCAATGCAACTTTAGGTGAGATCGTGTAGCGTAACCTTGATTCGACTTCGCTAGCATATTCTATGGAGCCAAATCGCACTGAAATTGCACCAAACTATTATTATTATTATAATACAGGATTTACCTTGTGATTCCTACCAGGGGCAGACTGACAAACTCATGGGGCCCCGGGCAATAGGGGATCATGGGGCCCCTGTATCCTTGCCTAAACTCAAAAAAGCCTACTAAAAAGGTACCAGGGGCATCTCATGGGGCCCCATACTGACCCCGGGCCCTCGGGCAGTGCCCTAGCCATTTTGAATATACAGGTGAAACTCAAAAAATTAGAATATCGTACAAAAGTTCATTTATTTCAGTAATGCAACTTAAAAGGTGAAACTAATATATGAGATAGACTCGGGGTCAGTATGGGGCCCATGAGATGCCCCCTGGTACCTTTTTCATAGGCTTTTTTGAGTTTGGGCAAGGATACAGGGGCCCAATGATCCCCTATTGCCCGGGGCCCCATGAGTTGTCAGTCCGCCCCTGGTAGGAATCACAATCATGGGAAAGACTGCTGACCTGACAGTTGTGCAGAAAACCATCATTGACAACCTCCATAAGGAGGGAAAGCCTCAAAAGGTAATTGCAAAAGAAGTTGGATGTTCCCAAAGTGCTGTATGAAAGCACATTAATAGAAAGTTATGTGGAAGGGAAAAGTGTGGAAGAAAAAGGTGCACAAGCAGCAGGGATGACCGCCAGCCTGGAGAAGATTGTCAGGAAAAGGCCATGCAAAAGTGTTGGGGACTTTCGCAAGGAGTGGACTGAGGCTGGAGTCAGTGCATCAAGAGCCACGACACACAGACGGATCCTGGACACGGGCTTCAAATGTCGTATTCCTCTTGTCAAGCCGCTCCTGAACAACAAACAATGTCAGGAGCGTCTTACCTGAGCTAAAGAAAAACAGACCTGGTCTGTTGCTCAGTGGTCCAAAGTCCTCTTTTCTGATGAGAGCAACTTTTGCATCTCATTTGGAAACCAAGGACCCAGAGTATGGAGGAAGAATGGAGAGGCACACACTGCAAGATGCTTGAAGTCCAGTGTGAAGTTTCCACAGTCTGTGTTGATTTGGGGAGCCATGTCATCTGCTGGTGTTGGTCCACTGTGCTTCATTAAGTCCAGGGTCAACGCAGCCGTCTACCAGGAGATTTTGGAGCACTTCATGCTTCCTTACGCAGATGAGCTTTATAGGGATGCTGACTTCATTTTCCAGCAGGACTTGGCACCTACCCACACTGCCAAAAGCACCAAAACCTGGTTCAATGACCGTGGGATTACTGTGCTTGATTGTCTAGCAAACTCGCCTGACCTGAACCCCATAGAGAATCTATGGGGCATTGCCAAGAGAAAGATGAGAGACATGAGACCGAACAATGCAGAAGAGCTGAAGGCCGCTATTGAAGCATCCTGGTCTTCCATAACACCTCAGCAGTGCCACAGGCTGATAGCTTCCATGCCACGCCGCATTGAGACAGTAATTGCTGCAAAAGGGGCCCAAACCAAGTACTGAGTACATATGCATGCTTATACTTTTCAGAGGTCCGATATTGTTCTATGTACAATCCTTGTTTTATTGATTGCATGTAATATTCTAATTTTCTGAGATTGTGGATTTGGGGTTTTCATGAGCTGTAAGCCATAATCATCACAATTATGACAAATCACAGCTTGAACTATCTTGCTTTGCATGTAATGAGTCTATCTCATATATTAGTTTCACCTTTTAAGTTCCATTACTGAAATAAATGAACTTTTGCACGATATTCACATTTTTAGAGTTTCACCTGTAAATATAGACACATATTCAATCCATTATTGACTCTTAGTGACACATATTCTTCAAGCATCAAGACTTACCATTACTAGACACTGGAAAAAAGACTTAGCCCCTTCTCTAAAAGAAGTCATTGAACTAGTCCAGACCCACTTCATCTATGAGAAATCTTTAGCTTACCTCAATGATAGAATTACCAAATTTGACAAAGCTTGGAAAACCTGGTCCGACTGGTTCACAACTGTAACCTAAGATATTACTATGTTTATCCTTTTTTTGGATACTCTAAAACACGGGTGTCAAACTGGCGGCCCTCCAGCTGTTGCCAAACTACAAGTCCCATGAGGCATTGCAAGATTGACAGTTACAAGCATGACTCCCAAAGGCAGAGGCATGATGGGACTTGTAGTTTTGCAATAGCTGGAGGGCCACCGGTTTGACACCCCTGCTCTAAAATGATTATTTCGTGGAACTAGTAGGACTGTTAGGAATTATTCAATATTTCCTTTTTTTCTCTTTCTTAAACTTTAACGCAGCACCTATACTGTGATATTGTAGCTTTTCACTGTCCTATTTTTGTTTTGTTTTTTTGTTGTTGGAACTATATTTGTAAAACTAAATAAAAATGTATTATGGAAAAAAATACAGGATTTATATAGCGCCAACAGTTTGCTCAGCACTTTACAATATAAAGGGAGACAATACAGCAACAATACAGTTCAATACAAGAGGGTTAGGTGGGCCCTGCTCCTTGGAGCTTACAATCTAAGAAGGAGGGGCTGGTGATACAAAAGGTAATAATTGTAGGGGATGAACTGGTAGGAGGAATAGACGATTCTGTTATTAGCTGAAGGCAGGATAGGCTTCCCTGAAGAGATAGGTTTTCAGAGATCGCCTAAAAGTGGCTAGAGTAGGCGATAGTCTGATAGATTGGGGTAGAGAGTTCCAGAGGATGGGGAGGCTCTGGAGAAGTCCTGGAGACGAGCATGGGAGGAGGAGAAAAGGGAGCTAGAGAGCAGGATTTTCAGAGATCACCTAAAAGTGGGCAGAGTAGGCGATACATTAGCACAGTACCCGTTCTCAAAAACACACTGCACAGAGTCGCATTGATGTAAACGAGCACCATTGAAACTATTATGATTTCCCTCATCATGTGACGCAAGTCGCATCAGAAATCACACCAGCGTGAACCATTTTCTATACTGTTGCTTGTAAGAAATGTATTTATGCATCTGTTCAAGTTACCACAAAGCCCACTAATTATTTCCAAGCCTGGTACAAGATGCAGCCAGGTAAGTTAGAACTCCCGATCTGCCTTTTTTGATCCAGGTCCCTCAGAAATCATTGAAGACTGAAGATCAGCATGACAGGCAACCAGAAGGAGATAATTGATGGTAGTCTATGTATTTCACTCATAAAAGGATCCCCATTTAAAGGAATAGTCCAATGAAAGTATAGCAGATTAATAACATTCAATGCATAGTGTAATGAGGCGAGAGCTTACAAATCTGTCTTCATCCTGCTGTATTGTAACCTAATGCCATAAAAGATTTCCTTGGCACGCACAGGGGAGATGACTGCAGATCCATGGCAGATGCCCCCTCTTCAGCAAACAAACACACATTAGCATAAGAGCAGAGCAAGAAAGAAGCTGGAAAAAGCGTTAATGGCTCAGACGCAGTGACATCTGCTGTCAGGCCACTGTAGCGGCAGCCAATCGCAGTGCATTCCCGTAGCACACAATACATAGCAGAGGCAGGGTGTATTACACTGTGTTCAGTATCAGGCACAATGTTTAACACCATGAATATGAACAAGCAGAATACATTACCACCCCACTATTAGCACCCTATGTAGACTCCACATCCTGGATCTGGATACAAGTCATTGATCTTATATCCTAAAGAACACGGGGCCAATGAGTAGCTGAAAAAATCATCAAATTGGAGCTCTCCACCTATTGTCATTCCCATCATGTAGACACAGCTCTGTCAGCCTCAGATTTTATGTCGAACTTCAATGCCCAGCATGCCTAGCATGGAGTCAAAGGCCACCTTCCTTATGAGTCTAAGCATTCTATGTGTGGTTTGCTTGAACCACCAAAACTCGGTTTTAAAAATGGTACAAAATACAAGAAAGGAGTAAAACCGTATACAGATGATGGCGGGCAAAATATTACTTCCCACAGTACATTTAATAAAAGAAATACATTTTTTATTATGATATATTTTTTATTATTTTATTAATATTTATATTTTATTTTATATATTTTTTTATAATATTTTATATTATTTTTGTATAGATGCGGGCCCTTTCCATCGGGGGCCCAATGCAATTGTCCCTTTTTCCCCTTTATATATACTGTGGCCAGTATGGGATAGACCAGCTTTAACCACTAGCCTACAGGGCACTTATACCCCCTTCCTGCCCAGGCCAATTTCCAGCTTTCAGCGCTGTCATATTTTGAATGACAATTGCGTGGTCATGCAACATTGTACCCATATGAAATTTTTATCATTTTTTTTGAGACAGATAGAGCTTTATTTTGGTGGTATTTAATCACCTCTGGGATTTTTATTTTTTCTTAAACAAACTAAAAACCACTGAAAATGTTGAAAAAAAAATTTTTGTTCTTAGTTTTTGTCATACAATTTTGTAAATAAGCGATTTTTCTCCTTCACTTATAAGGCTGCAGTGATGGGCACTGATAGGCTGCACTGATGGACACTGATAGGTGGCACTGATGGGCACTGATGAGGAGGCACTGGTAGGTTGCACTGATGGGCATTGACAGGCATCACTGATGGGCACTGAAAGGCAGCACTAATACATGACACTGATACATGACACTGATATATGGCACTGACTGGCACTGATGGGTGACATTGAAAGGCAGCTCAGATGGGCACTGATATGTGGCATTGATGTGCACTGGTATGCACTGATATGTGGCATTGATGTGGCACTGATGGGCACTGGCATTAATGAGCACTGAGAGGTGGCACTTCTGGGGCCACACTGATCATCAGGGCACACTGATCATCAGTGCCCTGATGATCAATGTACATGCCGATTACCGGTTCTCCTCTCCTTTCGAGCTGTCAGCGTGACAGCTCGAGAGGAGAGAATTGCCGATAACCGGCATTTCCGTGTTTACATGTGATCAGCTGTGATTGGACACAGCTGATCACATGACCAAGCTGACATCTTTGGCTCTTTCCGTGATCTGCTGTGTCTGAGGGACACAGCGGACCGGCGATCGCCGCGCTATACACGCTCCCTGATCCGCGCATGCGCAGTGAGAATGGTAGGACGTCATATGACGTCCTATCAGAACGAGAGAACCACCTTGCGCCCGTCATTGTACTATAGGGTGGGTGGAAGGTGGATAAAGAGATTGTAAGAGTTACAGGCCATGCTGACTTCTTCAGAGAGTTCAAATTGATTTCTATGACACATAGCAGGTTATTAACTAAAACTGGAGAGTGCATAATCTGGTGCAGCTCTGCATAGAAACCAATCAGCTTCCAGCTTTTATTGCCAAAGCTTAAGCCCTCATACACCAGCCTGACCACCACTGCGCCTGGGGCAGTGGCCCCTCCTGTCCACCTCTTGTCTGACATATTAGAAAATTTCAGTGATCCTTCAGTATATGATTTCTATAATCTGTAGGAAGGAACAGATTTCCACTTGGCAAGATATGGAAAATGTTGGCTGGGAGAAAAGTAACTGTGGTGCAAGCAGATCTACGTAATATACTGTTTGCTATATAGAGAGAGAATGTAGGATATGCAGCAAACTAAATCATGAAATTAAGTTTTGTGAAAATTTACCAACACTGGGTGGAGTTAGGTACAGTAAAACTTAGGTACAGCAACTCCAAGACCCTTAGGCTGTTAAGATTTCCTGCAGAGGTAAACATTAATGGCATGGCATTAATGGCATGGATGGAGGAATCTCCCCTGGCAGCTCTTGTATTCTGAGAGCCACTGTGTCTCTGGCTGTTGGAATATAGAACAGTGACTGCATCTGATTGGTTGCAGTTGCCCATCATTCTATTTTTTTTTTAATATATATTTTTTAAATATATTCTTCAGATTTTTTTAACATATTAAAAAAGTAATTTTAACATTTATTTTTACATATATTTGTAAATGCATTCCAAAAATTTAGATTTGTATTTTTAAAGACATACAGTATATTTGAAATGCATTTGTAAAACTAATTTTCAAATATTTTGTAATAAAAAACGCATTTCAGCATACAGTATATATATATATATATATATATATATATATATATATATATATATAAAATATTAATTGAAATATATTTTGAAATATATTGAATATGGCCAAAATTGTAGTGTTTCAAATATATGTCAATATATTTGGGAAGAATATTTTTAAAATATATTTCAAATATATATTTCTTCCATATGGGCTATGCTATTCCTGACCAACATGTACTTCCTCTGGCACTTTTCTGTTTGTTTTGGGGATCTGAGGACCCTAGTCACTGCTGCAGGGTTGGAAAAGCCATGGGATCTTTTTCAAACCATGTTAGGTTGCCTTTAGTAGCTTCTAGAATGGAAGGAGCCACTGGAGGGCCCACCCAAGAGTGGAACCACGAAGGCCCCATGTTAAAGGATTCACAGGGGTGCTGCTTTGCTCCGGGGCAAAAGGGCCAGCACTTAAGAAGGTCTTCTTTACCAATGCTCATGTAAAGAAATCCTTAGGCTGACTACATTAAATCAAGGTAAGATAGATGAAAGGTAAGCTGGTTTCTGATTGCATTATGCACATTTGTATTTTTACATTGTTTTTAAACTAGATTTCCAATGGGACTTTGAAAGATAGGAGAAAGAGCAGTGGTGCTATACAAAGAGCAGTAGTTTATGATAACCAATCAGAAGTAGCCTTTCTTTGATCTGACTAAGAACTAAGATTGGATTGGTGGGTGATGTCACTTTGCACAACCATACTGAACAAGCCACAGGTGTGCATCAACTCGTATTCCAGTTTGCTGTGTGTTGTATTGGAAGAGAAATGGCTGCTGTGTCATCTACAACCTTCCCTCACTTCATCCATGTAATTTTATGGGATTTGGACTGAGGCTGAGAGCAGGCTGGGATCTAATGCTCTTTCCTGCCCACTTATGAGGCCTCTGCTCCCAAGAGGACGCAGCTTCAATAGGCTGTAATTGATTCCGGAAACTCTCCATCAGCAGATTGTGGAATGTGGTAGAAGCCTGAAGCAATGAGAACATTCTTGACTTTGCTGTAACTCTACAGTGAAGAAATCTGTGGGAGACTCACTGCTCAGTACAAAGCCAAGAACACTAAATTGTAGCTCCCCTGTAAATGGAGTGGTACAGCCAACTGTAGAAAGTCACCTCTATTCTCAGACACACATGGTCAGTATGGTTGCTTATAGTGGTAGTCCACCTTTTGCAAAAAGTAGTAAATGCAGGATTATTGATCTAAGTGCATTTACTAATTTGTTTGCACTGAAGCCTGCAAGTCAGTGTATTGTAGGTGCAATGCGCAGGCTTTTGCTATGTTTTCACCCAGGATCAGGTCTGTACAGAGGGACATACCTTCTGTTATGTGACTGGGGGAAATGTGGCTGGAATATGGAGCAGAGAGGCAGGAGGGATTGTCTGTGCACTCTGTATAGTCCCTCTGCTGCGGTGTGGGAAGGTGAATGTAGAAAATCCTGGTTTACAGTCCCAGACCTGGATGACGCAGCTTTATGGCCAGATCAATGTGCATCATACATACTAGGGGGCAGGGGCGGACTGACCATTTGGAAACTCGGGCACTGCCCAAGGGCCCGGGGTCAGTAGAGGGACCCATGAGATGCACCTGGAACCTTTTTCATAGGCTTTATTGAGCTTGGGCAAGGACACAGGGGCCCCATGATCCCCTATTGCCTGGGGGCCCCATGAGTTGTCAGTCCACCCCTGCTAGGGGGAGTACAATTGGGGGAATCAATAATGGAGAAGGATCTGGGAGTTCTGGAAGATCACAAGCTTAATAATGGCATGCAATGCCAAACTGCGGTTTCTAAAGCGAGCAAAATCCTCTCTTGTATTAAAAGAGGTATAGACTCCAGAGAGAGAGATACAGTTCATATTACCCCTGTACAAATCATTAGTAAAACCTCATCTGGAATATGCAGTTCAGTTTTGGGCACCAATTCACAAAAAGAACATTGGGGAACTGGAGAAAGTACAGAGAAGGGCAACCAAACTGATAAGAGGCATGGAGGAGCTCAGCTATGAGGAAAGATTAGAGGAACTGAATTTATTCTCTCTTGAGAAGAGGAGATTAAGGGGGGATATGATCAACATGTATAAATCCATCAGTGGTTCATATAGTGAACTCGGTGTAGAGCTATTCACCCTGAGGTCATCACAGAGGACAAGGGGGCACTCTTTATGTCTGGAGGAAAAGAAATTTAATCTCCAAATACGGAAAGGTTTCTTCACAGTGAGAGCTGTGAAAATGTGGAATAGACTCCCTCAAGAGTTGCTTCTGGCCAGCTCAGTGGATTGCTTTAAAAAAGGCCTGGATTCTTTCCTAGATACACAGAATATAACTGGATACTAACATTTATAGGTAAAGTTGATCCAGGGAATATCCAATTGCCTCTTCGGGGGATCAGGAAGGACGTTTTTTTTTTTTTTCCCCTGCAGGAGAACATTGAATCATGCTTTGCCGGGTTTTTTTTTTGCCTTCCTCTGGATCAACTGTGGGTATAGGATTATAACTTTTTTTTTATGGTTGAACTGGATGGACTTTTGTCTTTTTTCAGCCAGACTAACTATGTAACTATGTAATGTCTAGCAATGTTAAATGTATTAGTACCCGGAGTAAACCCACGCAGGCATAGGAAGAACATGCAAACTCCAGGCACATGGGTGTAGCATCTGGGGTCTGAGGGGGTCACAATTGTGACCCCGCTCATGCTCCAGGGGAGCCCGGTCTGTCCTCCTGTCATTATCATGGGCAAAGGAGAATCCAGAGAAAAGCGGAACCTCTAAGCTTTTGGCTCCATTTTCAAGTCCTGAACTGGACAGTAGCGGAGGAAGGATGGGGTGAGGCCAACCCTGCTGGATGGGAAAGTGTTAGTGCTGACAACCAGGCGGGGATGGACACCGAGCTGTCACTGGGCTGAGCGAGGGAGGAGGAGGAGAGCACCATACAGGAGCTGGTACTGCTGTCATTGGGGAGGTAAAAAGATACCGGTCTGATCTGTGCAGAAAACAGACACACCCCTCCCCACAACTCCTGTTGACACTCATGCAAAAATTCTCACAAAATCCCGTAACATCGGGGCCCACAAGCTTCCTCTCTATCCAGGCAGGTTGTGCTTTGGTTGGAATTCAAACAAATCACTTAGGTACTGCCAGGCAGAAGTGCTAACCACTTAGCCACTGTGCTGCCCACATTCAAACTCACAGAATTATGCTGGAAGATGCACCCCATGATTCTGGTAAGGGGGGGGGAGTTGGGTTTTGGGGAATGTATATGCAACCATGCTTCAAGTTACACCCTAAATATATATCCCTCTTAGATTGTAAGCTCCAAGGAGCAGGGCCCTCCTAACCCTCTTGTATTGAACTGTATCATTGCTGTATTGTCTCCCTTTATATTGTAAAGTGCTGAGCAAACTGTTGGTGCTATATAAATCCCGTATAACAATAATAATTTTATATATATATATATATTTGAAGGCGTTTACTTGGTCAGCCACAATGTTTAAGTAGATTGTACATGACAAGTAACATCCACATGAATAGAAGGATCCAAGGTTTTCTAGCAGAACATTGTCCAAAGCTTCACACTGCCTCCACCTGCTTACCTTCTTCCAATACTGGATCCTGAAGGTAAGCAACGTACCCAACCAATGATAAGAAAATGTGATTCATCAGACCAGGCCATCTTCTTCCATTGCTGTTTTCTAGTTATGATGCTCATGTGCCCTATATAGGTGATTTTGGCTGTGGACATGGGTCAGCATGGACACCCTGAATTGTCTATGGCTACGCAGCCCTATACCCAATGCCACGATGCCCATTTTTTCTGCTTTCAACACATCAAATTCAGGGACAACATGTTCACTTGTTGCCTAATATATCCCGCCCACTTTCAGATGCCATTGTAAGGAGATAATCAATGTTATTCACTTAACCTGTCAATGGTCATAAAGTTATGGCTGATAGATATATATATCATTTTTGCAGTGCAAGAAATT